TTACGTATTGTGTCACCATCCGTACTTCCGGCGCAATGCCATGACGAGCCGCCAAGAGGGAGTACGAGGGTGCAAATAAAAGGGTCAGCCGATGGCATCTCGGTCTTGTTTCTAACGAATCGCCATCGTGAGTATTTTGACCCTCCGTACTTAGTAAGTTGTGCGTGCCTGAATCCCGTCCTACTATAATCTGTTCCGGACGCCATCTTTTCCAAGTCATACTCCAATCTCGTGGAACTGGCATAACTTCAACGACTTTGTGATGCATCAGTGATCGTGCAAGTCGTTGCAAGAATTGAGCCGTTTATTTTGAAAGTGACCTAACTCCGTTTTTCATTTTTTTGCCGGTTACCATGGTAACATGTACTACGTCATGTTATTTATCAGTGACGCACTTCAGATTGCTTATATTCAGAGAAAATACGATACATTTTTTACACATAAGTTTTCCGGATTAATTGAATCACTGAGCCGTGTAGTTTGAAAGTGGCCTAACTCCATTTATAGTTACATCAAGATCATTACTATTGATAATGTTGGAAAGCAGCGATGAAGGTAATTTCAATTAATTAGTATTTACAAGTTAACCGCACTTTTGGGACAATTGTGTTAGTTCATTAACCTGTACGTTTAATTAATATAAAACTTAAAATTTAATATTAAATTATAGTAATTATTGCACCCATGAGGAAGAACAGAAAAAGACCACTTAGTTCAGATAGTGAAGAAGAAATACTAATTAATAATTTAAAAGAAAAACGAATAAGAAAAAGAGTTATAGAACAATATTCGTCGTCAGAGGATGAAGATTCGAATAACAATAGAGAAAAGATGGATGCACCATATGTCCAAAAAGTGCGAACGATTAAACGGAATTCAGGAAAAAGATATTGCACTCAAACCGGAAATATTGTTCATGAAAAAATTTTCGAAAACAAAGATTGTGGTTGTCGGAATGCTTGCACAAAAAATTACAATGAAGAAGAAAGAAAGAATATTTTTGAGAAGTTTTGGGGTTTGGCAGATTTTAACAAACAAAATGTATTACTTCACGAAGCTGTCGAGCGCAAAATTGTGGAACGAAGACGTCCAACTAACGGAAAAGGATCAGCAAGAAAATTTAGTTTTAGATATTTGTTAAATTCTAAAAACGGAAAAATTCCCGTCTGTAAAAAATTCTTTTTGGATACTTTTAAAGTAAGCGAAGGACGTTTGAAACGAGTACTAAACTCGGCAAATGTGGGCAATGATATGCGTGGGAGGATGGCTGGATCATCAAGACAATTACCTGAAGAAGCGAAAAAGCAAGTTCAAAACCATATTAATAGTTTCCCTAATTTTGAATCCCATTATACCAGATCTCATAATCCTAATAAAAGATATCTACATCCTGATCTAACTATCAGGAAAATGTTTAATTTATACGAACTTCACCGCGAGGAAAATGGAATAAAAGCCGTTAATGAGTGGACTTATAGGAAAATATTTAAAAAAGATTTTGATTTACATTTCCACCAACCGCTCAAAGATACATGCCAAAAATGCGACTTATTAAACATTAAAATTAAAGCATCGAATAATGAAGAAGAAAAGAATAAACTCACCGAAGAACACGATGTCCATTTAAGACTAGCAGAATCAGCTAGAAATTCACTAAAACAAGCTCAGGAACTAGTATCACGTAATTCGGACTATTATTTTGCTTTCTCGTTCGACTTACAGAAAGCATTACCGTATCCCAAGTTAACTACCTCAGTAGCTTATTACAAACGCAATATGTATGTTCTAAATTTTGGTATACACAACTTTCATAATAATAATGTCGACATGTAGTTTGGGATGAAACTATTGCATCCAGAGGTGCTCAAGAAGTTGTTTCATGCATCTTAAAACATATTAAAAAATTAAGAAGTGAAAAACACATCATAGCTTACAGTGACATGTGCACCGGGCAAAATAGAAACATTAAAGTAGCTTTAATGTGGTTGAAAATTGTTCAAGCTTTGACTAATAATGTAGAAATTATTGATCATAAATTTTTAATATCGGGACATTCATTTTTACCAAATGATAGAGATTTTGCCGTGGTAGAAATGGCATTAAAAAAAAAATAATTTACTGTACGTTCCCCAAGATTATTACAAGATTATTAAAAAGTGTCGGAAGGGTAATAATTTTAATCTCAATGAAATGAGACAGGAAGATTTTGTATCGACAAAATTATTAGAAGACGCAATTTTTAAAAGAGTAAAAAATTCTGATGGAGAATCAGTAAACTGGTTAAAAATATGTTGGATGCGTTTTGTCAGAAATGAACCATATACAATTTTTTATAAGACATCCATGAATGAAAATAAAAATTTTAAAGTCCTGAATTTATTACCACGTCGGGGTAGACCAAAAAGGTTCGAAAATATTGTATTGGCACCATTGTATAAAAATATTAGGCCAGTTACAACAGCAAAATTTAAGGACATGATTGACCTATTACGATACATACCACCTGAACATCATGATTTTTTCAAATCCCTTTCACACGCACAAAATGTAGCTGAATAGTAAATTGTTTTGTAATAAATTTATGTTTGCAATTTTCTATGTTCTGTAATTAAAAAATGTTTTGAATCACATAAATTATGTTTCCGAAGTGTTTTCAACATATGCAAAACAAATTCCGTATTCTTTTTTTCAATTTGGAACATCTTAAATTATGTTGAATGGACTTGGGCATCTTCAAATTTTATAATGAATCTGCCTGTTAATTTTGAAAGTGGCCCAACTCCATTCTTCATAAGAAAACGCACGTTATTTACTTAATAATTGCCACTATTTTAACAGGAACTATAAATTTAACATCCTAAGATACGCTTAGGCAGTATGACTTCTAAGTATCTTATACGTATATTTTTAAATTCATTGAAACGCAAAACTTTCAATATCTCGATTTGAAGATAAATGGAGTTAGGCCACTTTCAAAATAAGCGGCTAAATTATAGAATTTACGCCTCTATAATCTCCACATCTTCACATATCCAGAGCACACACACTCTGGAGTGTTTCATGTGACAGACCGTCACACTTCAAGACGGCTACGCACACAATAATAACAATTAACACAACACACACCAATTCCACAAATTGGTGATCCCGACGTGATCTTAAGTTGAAAGAGCACGTTATCAAAGTTTAAGTGTGAGAGCGGTGTGAAGAAGTGTTGCAAATCAAAAAGGTTAAATTCAAAATGGTTCAAAATACATCCGCACCGAATCAAATTGCGGGTGCCCGCAGTGCTTGTTTAATTCCACGTTCGGACAATGAAGAGATTAATATATGTACTTAATTTAATTAATGTACTTGCTGAACGCACCTTTCGTTACCATCAAGTGACGGAAGGTGATGAAAAATAGTGTTGTAATTTTTGACACCAGCAGATCGTCACGCAGTGTTTGACATAATTGTGAAAATAGACAGCACATACGACGAAGATAAGGAGGCTTTAATTAAGCACCTGGCGATCGCACACCTTGACAGTTTCTGCGGGATTTACAGCGGATCTCCACTTGCTGGAGATACGATAATAAAAACGCAATGCGTAATTTGCCGGAAGCAACACGTTTAGTTGTATCTGAAGCGCAGAGAGACGATCTCGTCCATTTAGCATCGATGGCGGATGGTATTCACGCAGCCACAAAAATGTCATGTGCGCAACGGTATCCAGTGCAGCTTCAAGCCAAGGACTCATCGTTGGCTGAAGTGTAGCTCTTTGGTTGAGAGAGTGAAGGAGCTTTCATTGCGTATGGATGAGAGGTGCACCATGGAAGTTCAGGAAGTGTAGCATTGTCGGTGTCAGCCTAAGAATCGCCATCGTTACCGTAGCAAGTCGCGAGGTAAGTTAAAACAGTATATTTGTTGGCTTCATGCGCGATTTGGACCAGATGCGAAGAGATGTGAGCTACCGTGTCATTTTGGATCGGGAAACGGTCGGGCGGGCAGTCAGTAGTGGCCGCAAAAGACTGTCGCGCCTCAAAAAATCACGCGCAGATTATTTCTTAAAAAAATAACACTGAGTGTTATTTAATTGACACTGGTGCGGATGTGAGTGTTTATCCGCGAAACAGAGTGCGTGGACAAAAAAGTGCGTGCGAGTAATCGTTGGCCGCTGTCAACGGTACACACCTATAGCCACACATTGAGTCTCGATTGAACCTCCGAACGGACAACTATATCAACATGTCGCAACGCGATATCAACCAACTGCCTTCCACTGCTCACCCGATTACGACCACCGCAAACGAACTTTACTTCGCAACCCGTATTAAACAACTTCGTGACGAAAATGTTTTTTATTAAAATAAATCAACTCGAACATACCATGGCCGTTAACGAAAAAATATACGACAAATACCTAAGACAGGACAGAAAAAATAAAAATAATTATTTGCTTTCTTCCAACAATAGATACGCTCAGCTGCCGATGGATGACGACGACACCGACTTCCACGGCGCAGACGACCAACCCCAGGATGACGACAACGACGAGCCATTCCAGTCCAAAACAAGAGATGGAGGAGGAACAACTCCAGCCCGGAAGAAAAACGGACCTCCCCAACGCCGACGACGCAAAACATGGGAATAGATGAAACCGCAGCCACCCGCAACCACAACAACACAAATATGCCACCGATAATTGTGAAATCAAAGATTTTGATTACAAACAATTTCACAAAAAAATCTCTACCACCACATCTGTGCCAATCATCTATTACGGCAATCGCACGAAAATTATAGCCAAAAACGAACAAGACTATAACAAACTACTAAAATTATTCGAGGGATTAAACAACCTCGAAAATTTTACACACCGTAAAAAAGCAGAAAACACGAAATCCATTGTCATAAAAACAGTACCATTCCTAGAAGAGGAAGAACTGGGAAAATTCTTTAAACAACAACACCCAGGAGTTCTGTACGTTAAAAAACTACAAAGTAGAAAAGACACTGAAAGCAGATCATATTTACTAAAATTAACTACCGGAACGAATATTAATGATATTTAAAAAATAAACAATATCGATGGTGCGCATATACGGTACGAAGCGTACAGCCGTCCAACAAAAGTCACCATGTGCCGCAGATGCCAGGAGTTCGGACACGGAACCGAAAATTGCCACAGCGCTCCAAGGTGCGTAAAGTGCACGAAATCTCACTACACCCAGGACTGCGACAAAAACCCAGATGCCCTTCCACAGTGCACCAACTGCAGCGGACCCCATCCAGCGAATTACACCGGATGCCCAGCATATATTCGGCATGTGAACGATAAAAATATTAAAATAGTAGGCAAAACACCCAAATTCAACATTAACGAACATAATTTCCCATTACCTAAACTAAAACCAATACAAAATCATCCAAAACCAACAAGTAACCCTCCCTTGCCACCCAACAGCACGAAAAACCCATATCAATCTTATATAAACATCCTAACCAAATTTGAAAAAATTAAACCCGAACAGCGCTCCAACGAAGGTGGACAAACTACTTATTATCTAAAATCACATTATCACATTATAGTGGACATATGAACATTATAGTGGACATATGAACATTAAAGTGGGCATATGAACATTAAAGTGGACTTTGGTCTAGGTCGCGAGTCTCTTTGGGCATTTATTATTGCAAATGTTGATCACCCTATAATCGGTGCGGTTTTTCTGCTTAATTTCGGTCTGATCGTGGACATTGAAAACCGTCGTTCAGGCTGCGTAATGCTCCGCAGACGTTTCAACGATGAGGTTCTCTAGGGGCTAGATTTTGTATTTGCTTATATTGACGACATTTTGGTCGCATCGACTACTGAGGAAGGACATGTGGCTCATCTTTATCAGCTCATCCAACGCCTGAGTGACTACAAGGTTTTAATCAATTCTGCGAAGTGTGGGTTTGGCCAGAATAGCGTAAAATTCCTTGCCTATCTGGTGTCCAGTCAAGGCACCAGCCCGCTCTCAACAAAGGTCGAAGCGATCTTGGATTTTGCGCAACCTAAGACTGCTAAGCAACTCCGGCGTTTTCTCGGGATGATCAACTTTTCCAGGAAGTTCATCCCTCGAGCTCTTCAGGCCCCACTAAATGAGCTACTTCATGGAAATATTAAGAGTAATAAGACAATCAGCTGGAAAGCCACGTTACTGAGCCATCCAGATTCCACAACG